AACTAGGGAGAAGAATTTATAAATATGTGTTCTAGCTTTAGTAATATATCTAAATACACATACAATCCCACCTCCATCAGACTGTAAGTTATTTGAAAATAAGATTCTCATTTAATTTGACAAATATATCACATAAAATACTGTAGTTTTAAATTAAATCTTTGGTACTATAATGAGTAATCAGTAAGTAAATATGAAAATTACAAAGGAAAATAATTTTTCATATTTTATTTTATTAAGATGTCCAAACTTACCCAAAAGAATCAAAATGATCAAAGTCAAGATCAGGATACAATTTCCTATTCCACATATTACCAATAAGATTTTATGTCAGTGGAAAGTCACTGAAAAATCTGAGAGAGTAAAAGTATAGATTAGCTTTAAAAAGTACATTTGCAAGAAACTGTAATAATATTAAAGAGAAGTTATAATGCTTTTGTTCTCCAATAGACATTAAACAACACAACAGAAAGCACAGTTAAATAAAAATCATATGCATTTGTTTTGGTTAATTAATTATACTTTTTGGATGATCATAAATCCTGATATAACCTGCATTTAATCTTAATAAATTACTAGTATTTTAAGTATTTTTACTTGTGAAAATAAGTTCAGTCTGAAGTACCTAACAATCCTTTTGTATATTAACATGAGTAAATCTTTCTAATCAATCATTTATTTTAATGTAATGCACACATGCTATTAAAATTAATTTTACTTACAAAAGATATAACATAAAGCAGAGGTAATAATGATTTCAAGTTTGTTGCTATTTTAACCCATTTTTAAAAAAGGAAAATCCTATTTCCTTCTTAAAGTATAAAAGAGTGATGTTTCAGGTTTCTATTAAGTGGGAAATTCCTTAAGAGTGATAATTTTTTAAATGAAATTTTGTAATATCTGCACTTCCAGGTTCAAGATAAGATTGCTCACTTAATTATAATTATTTATAAAAATCTTACAGTCATTATAATGAAGGTAAACAGTCTACAGTATCACAGATATATATTTGTTATTTTTCTCAGTATCATTAAAAAGAAATTATATCTAGTGGGCATTGGTTTGTGTAATTATGTAAACAATTACCTAATACTGAACAAATGGATATTTATACTTTGAAATAATAGTTTATGCATTTACTAAAGAAAATGTATACAAATATTTTTAATAATTACTAAGTAATCACTTTCTTATACCTCTAATTTTTTTCCATTATTTTTTTAACATCAACAAAATTGGTGCTAAGAGAATGATCTGTTTTATGATTCTCTTCCAGATTGCTTACGCAGAGGTTTTGGGCTCTAAATATTCCATAATAGGGAGATAGGGAATTAAATCTCCCTCAATTCCCTCTACTCTTCAGAGAAATCTTCCTCCCCATATAATACCTCTAACTATCTAATTGCCTATTCACTTGAAAGTTGGACAATGACTAAGGAAGACTAGACTAGTGCTCTGGAAACATTGGAAGCAAAAGTGCATTCAAATGAAAATTGAACTCAGACTATTATTTCTCTGATAGCAGTACAGGATGATATTTATAAAATTAATTAAGACACATTAAGGTCAAACACACAAGATATTACAACACCTTACAACAAGACTACCAGATATTAGAAAGAAAACAATGAAATAAAACAGATTGATGCATAGTTATTTAATGTGAAACATTTATATGTCTACTGAAGCTATTATTTTTTTGAATGGAAAATACTGAACACTTTTCCATAAAAGTAAAAGAAATATCACATCGTTATTAATATTTAATATTGTATGGATAATAAAAGTATCTGATATAATCAGGGATGATAACTCAAGTAAAGATAAAATCTTTAGAAAAGAAGTAGTGTAATTATTCCAAGATTGCTGTGTATTTGAGGGCGAGAAGAATCAATTGGAAAATATAATATAAAGTATAAATGAGAAAATAATTCGGTAGGTGCAGTTTAAAAGTTATCATACCAAAATCAATCTCTATATTCTCAATTACCATTTAGAAAAGAAAGTAAATGCATTAATTATTCATGTTTTATATATAGATAGCAAACAAAAATTCAAACAAAACCATGAAATTAGACATAAACTTAACAAGAACTTCCTCAAAACCTATATTAATAAAATGGAAAACGAAATATGTACATTTGTATAATAGAAATATAATTGTGCCCTTAGATAAGAAAACTATATGCCAGAAGGTACATAAAAATTCTCTCTGAATTAACTGATGAATTAAAAAAGACTTAAGGCTCTATAGCAAAACTACTATCAATATTTGCAAGTTTGGGTGTTTTTGTTTTGTTTTTACAGTAAACCTTCAAAATTTGTAATAAAGTTGTTAGAAAGAAGAAATGACTAACAATAGCCAAATAAACCCTGAAAAGGTGAAAATAGAAAATGCTGAAATTCTGTTTGGGAAGATCTGAAAAAGTCTAGCAAAAGTTACATAGGTATTTACTTCATAACCCAATAACTGTCTCCAAAATACAATCGAAGGACACTTTGACAAAATACTGAAAGGTATATGTACAAAGCTATCCATTGAAATACTACATATATTAGCAAAATATATAATTATATGTAGGGGTGTTCTACTGGTTGTCCTCCGATTCAGGTATAAGTGTAAATAGGTCTGCTACTAACACTCAAAATAGGAACTGGCTGATTGGGCGGAATATAAGGCTTCCTTGTTTAGAGGTATGGAGAAGTGGAAAGATAATAAGGATAAGGATAGATAGAATTAGGGCTAGGACTCCTCCAAGTTTATTAGGAATAGATCGAAGGATGGCATAAGCGAATAGGAAATATCATTCTGGCTTGATATGGGGAGGAGTATTGAGTGGATTAGCTGGTGTATAGTTGTCTGGGTCGCCAAGTAA